ACCAATAAGAGCAACGGAGTGCGTGACGTATGTTAACCCACGCATAGTTGTTGTCCACAAAAATCAAAGCGTGCAGTTTCACGCCTATAATAAGAAGATGAGACTTGATCGCGTTTCTCTGTTCCTCTTTTAAAATTAATTTGCTGTCGATATCTTCTAGAACAGACCTAATAGCAGAATCTACTCACCTCGACTCTCCGGCGGCAGCCATTGTTGTTGTCACCCAAGCGCGCTTTGGTCACGTGGTTGATTACGTTACTGTTGATCATCTGTCCATCATCGTATAAAGCCCGCCCTGAAAATTTGATTGGATCGCCAGAGGGTGGGCGATCATACTCGCGCTACTATGGAGCAGAGCCAGACCGAACTTCCCGACCTCAAACCTTGTGGGCGGGACTAAGTTCGGAATGGCACCCAGGCTACCCTGTCACACCTTGACCATTTAGACCAGCGTATGCCGGACGTACGAAAAAAAATCTTTCAAAAATGCTGGCAAAAGTTAAGATAAGTTATGGGTACGTTTTGTATAAGTTATGAGCACGCTGAAACACGCTGGCATACTTCGACATACAGCAAGTACTACGAGAAATTTTAATGATGCACAAATTTCCTAGCCTCGTGAGACCATCCTGATCTCGCGAGCTTTCAAGGTTGCACTCGCAGATCAGTCTGGCTACTTTCCGTTAAAGAAAATTTGGAGCCGTTCACCAAACGAACGTCCAATCAGCGTTGGCTTTGAGGCTGGTTGAGGTGTGACGCAACGAGAAGCCCGACAGTTCAGTCTAAAGAACATGGCGGCTTCAGCCGATGAAACTAGCGTTAGCGAGGCTATCGAGCAAGTTTTATCGGAAATTACAGAGTATTTCTTCACTGAAAGAAGAGCAAAACACTGCTCTGGAGGCTTTTCTCAGAGGAAAAGATGTTTTTGCTCTTTTCCTGACTGGTTTGGGCAAGAGTAGCCTGGCTTGTGGTTGTGTTTTCGTCGTTGCTCTGTTAGTAAGTCATATGCTTCGTTGATCTGATTGGTTTATTTGGCCCGTCTATCACCAACATAGGCCAATCAGCTAACCAGTATTTTCGCCCCTTCCCGAAATTACTTCAACGGAAGGTTTCCAGATGGATATGCGGAGCAAATCCATCTGGCGGAGTCAGGTTACACATTTCCCGGCGTATGCCAGCATAAGCTCAAACCTGGGCCATAAGTTACAGGTAAGTTATCTGATCATTGACATATGTTAAGTGCAAGTTAGTCATAAGTCATGGTGTCCAGCTTATCCAAAACCTATCCAAAGTAACTTGTGCATAAGTTATGCATAACTTATGTCCAAGGCATTTAAATGCATTTGACGTTTTACAGACACCTGCTGAACATGTTTATAACTTAAAGCTACTGTATAAAGGCATATTGGCAGCATTTTGGTATAAAGGGGAGTTCACAGGAGAAAACTGTCAGTTCTCCTTCAGACTTCAAACCAACCATAGGGTGACGTGAAGGTGAGTGTAATGGATCTTCCCTGCGTTCACGCCCACTACCAACAAACTTCCTAGCAGACATGACGCTGACTCTGCTGTCACTGCAAACCTCCTTCCTTCCTTCCTTCCTTCCTTCCTTCCTTCCTTCCTTCCTTCCTTCCTTCCTTCCTTCCTTCCTTCCTTCCTTCCTTCCTTCCTTCCTTCCTTCCTTCCTTCCTTCCTTCCTTCCTTCCTTCCTTCCTTCCTTCCTTCCTTCCTTCCTTCCTTCCTTGTTATTTTTGGGGGCGGGTGGTAAACAGCAGCTAGGTTAATACCACAATCAAATAAATCTTTTTACGCAGACCGGGCACCTCCGGGGAGGAGCTTTAACTGATACTTCGTAACGCCCATGAAACTATGCTTGTGCATCATTTCATGGGCATTACGTTGTGTGTTATGCATAAGTTAGGCTGTTGTAGGACATAAGTTCTAGACTCGTTATGAATACACTATGTATACGGCCAAAATAAAAAAGAATACATAGAAAGTTCAGCGTATTCCAGTGTTTTAGAAGATTCTGAGACGTCAGGCATACGCTGGCTAAATTGGAATGGTGTGACAGGCCACTAAGCTGGTTTTATGCGCCAGAAAACAAACAGCGTTTGATCCAAAGGCCTGTAGACCTGTCAGATCTTATTGAATCTTCTAAATTGGACGGGGTCTAGAAAGTTTAAGGCATCCAAACCACCATTGAAGAGGTTCAACTTGATAAAACCAGCAGTTATTTCATTGTGAAATAGAACAAAACAAGAAAAGTAGCAATTTTCATTTTACCAATCTAATAAAGTACATAACTGTAACAGTGCAAAGATCTAAAAAAACATTTTATTCATTTCTTTGCCTTTGAAGGACAATTTCCCAGCGAGTATTCCCACTCTAAGCCAGCCAAACTCCTCCCAATGAATATGGACACCCAGTCCCCACACACAATGTCAAGGAGTGGTTCCCATTTAAAAAGAGAAGGGAGAACATATATGTATAAGATATAAAAGAGGCCCAAACCACAAAAAAGTCAGGGCCCTGGGAATGCTGGACATTCCCTGGGATGCTGCTCAAGAACATGAAAAAAAACGTCCCGCTTTTTTGTGAAGACAGGAAAATGTTTTCAGCTGTATAAATTGACAGCGGCCTTGTAACTGAAGATAAGACGAGAGAAAGAGGGCAGGGTTTCAGAGCTGTCAGAACTTCTGGTGGGTATAGAGTCATATTCCAGCCAAGCAGGCGGCTTCAGCCTCTTTGATGAAGTCTTTGTTACTCCTAATGGTGAACGCACGCTGCATTGTGAACACGTCAGGCCTACGCCTGGATGTTCGAGCTTTATGCGAGTTTGAAACGGCGTTAGTGAAATTGTATCTCCGTACACTCCATTAAAGTGTTTACATATGCCTGCTATTTCAGCCTTCACTTTTCTCCCCATCTCAGCGCTCGTCTCCTCGGGTGGCATAACAGTAAATCTTGGTTTTAGACACTCTGAAGCAACCGCTTTCTGAGCAGCAGACAATAAAAGCATAGCTGCGTTAATGAGTCATTTAATTATAACAGCGGATGTAATTAGCGGTGGACTCTAAACAGAATTGCAGCAAATGGCTATTGGGATCCGACCGTGTTTCTTGCTATAGTGACAGTTGGTTAAAGACTGTAAACACACATTGGTTTGTATGATTACAGACTTTCTTTATGACTTTCTACAGGCGACCTGGGGGAGCATGGGGTGCAGAATTGAGCGCAGATAAAGCCTGATCTCAGGGTTATCCATCATGAGATTTAAAAGTGCTATCATCCAGAATTGGAGGGAAGAACGGGGGGGTAACGTCTGGTTAGGAATGGAAGAAGGAACATAGATAGTGGTTGAAGATAATTCCTGGGTTTCAGTGCTGAGAGGAAAGTGGTGGCTGCTGGCTTCTGTATGCTGAGGTTAAGAGGATGACTCGGCATCCACTCCTTTTCTGCGATGTGAGTTTGTGTACGTGTTTGTCCGCGCTTTGCCTGAACGGTCAGAACGTTTCGACGTGCGTATTGTAATGTGTGTGCGTTCAGACCAGGGTGGAGCGTTGTGCGACGGCGGCAGTGTGTACGCAGATGTGGGCACCGCACCGTTAGGCAGTAAAGGCTGAAATTACATGGATGGGCTCATTGGGTTTAAAGCAGAAAGTCTGAGAAAAAACTCCAGATTATTCTCCATGCCCGCAGATCATTATTTATCATCTGACAAGATAACAGCATGGCCAGTAAGTGGGTAAAAAAAAAGTCTGAGTGGAGCTAAAGCTGAGCATCTGCACTGCAAAAAAATTAAATCTACGTAAGTCATTTTTTCTAAAAGGAACATTAGGAGGAGGAACATTAGACATTTTGCCAATGGAACAAGACAAGTTACATTTAAAATAAAAAAAAAAAAATATTGTATTGTTTTATTTCAAGTGCATATTATATAATTATCTTATTTTAAGACTGAAAATACTCATCCCTTTGCCAAACTATCTCATTCACCTATTTAAATTGAGGGTAAGACACTTAATTTAAGAAATGTTAACTTATTTCTAGATAATTTTTTCAGTGTTTTTTCAGAAATAAAACATTTCATCACAGGCAGAAGCATCAGGTTGAAGTTTTGTCAAACCTGCTTCGACTCTCATAGCCAGACTGGCTCCCAACACAACACAACAACCAACCCCCCCACCCCTGCAGATATCTGTCCACTTTACTTTTTCTTTCTCTCCATCTCCCTTGCATCTGCACAAAGCATTAGGCACCACTTTTATCTCCCTCATTACATGTGTTTGCCAGCTTCATATCTGCCCAGCTTCCCTCTCCTTCTCTCACACACACACTTTGTGGGGCTGTGGTTTTCAGGCAGCTATGACACAATCCAGATTCTTGCTGCCTATAGCAGAAAAAAAAACTGTGTTTTGCACTGAAGTATTTTTCCTCTAAAGTCCAGATTTTCCTTGCCCTGCAGCTTTGATCCACATGGCACAGGGGGATGAGGGGTTGTGTCAACAGTCTTGTGTTTCAGTTGGCGGTTCAGCCAGACCCCCGCAGTTCACTCGTTGCTCTGTCATTGCAGTGGCACAGACACCAGGATGAGGGGCGGTTAAACGTTCCTGCTTTTCCCCCAAAGGACACAGGAGCGTCCAAATGATGGCACATGATAAAAAACACGGAAAATTCTCTCATGTCTTCATGTTTAAAACTATTCAGACATCTTTAATGAATTACCTGTGGAGGCTAAGAACAGCTAGGATGAATCTGTGACTTCAAAGCAGAAAATAATCAAGCTGTACGACCAAACTTTGAATCGAAAGACAAAAAAGAAAAAGATGTTGGAGATTTCGGATGAAATATGTAAAAAATAGGGATGGTGACTTGGTAATAAATCTCTAAACCTTTAAACGTGTTATTGGTGTTTCATCAGAGCAGTAATTATCTGGAGGAACATGAAATCGTAAATTCATTAGGAGGAGCTTTGATGAACAAAGAGTTTGTCTTACTGATAGATATCTTTTCGGAGCACGGTGCGGGTCAGAGGGTTGTCAGCCTGCGGAGCCACGCTGAGGGAACCCAGCTTTAACACCACCGTGTCTTCCTTCTTCTCACTGGAGTCTACGAGCAGAGGAAAGTCAGGGCATACAGAGCAAAGTACTGTGGACTGAAATATGGAGTGAATTTTGTTCCATTATTGTTGCAGGCAAACATGTTTTGTACATGGAAAGTAAAAACAAATGCTTTCTAGAAATAAAAAAAAAATTGAAAAACATCTTAGTCCAAAAAGCTTAGCTGTTCTGATAAAAATTTTCATATTTGCTCGTTTTCAATTTCTCGTTTTTCAAACTTCTTTATTTAATTCTTTTTTTTACAGTTTTCAATTTTCATCTACTTTTGTAAATTAAAAAGAATCCCAGCAAGAAAAGTCATCATTGAATTACCATTGATTAAAACCTAACAACGTTCCTGAACATGGAAAGCAGTTTCACTCAAAGTTAAATAAAAAAATACATGAATAAATAAACCAACTCTGCAATTGATAAATGATTAATAAAATCATTAGTAAAATGTTTTACTTCATGTCACCATGAAGTAAAACTAAACAAACATTTTAAGAGACATTTTTATCTTATTCTAGTTTTTTAAGATGTATTTATTTCCTCTCCAAACCCGAATAAAGCAGCAAATCTTAACTAGAGCGACTAGAGCCGTTTCATCTCTATTGATAGGATAAGGATGCGCTTCTTTTTTCACATCAATAAATGTCTGCAGATCTTAGAAATTCCCTCACTAGTCAGAGAGACTAATAGCGATGAAGAGCTCTGATTATTATAACCAACAGCTGGTAAAGGTGGTGCTGCAAAGTTTCAGAGTTTCAAAGTTTCCATTTATTTTCTTATTTAACAAAGGACCATTATCCCATCCTCACATGTAAAACATTCACCTTTAAACAGGCATTACGGTTACTGTGTGCCAAGGCTGTGAAGAGGCTGAAAAGTGTTATCTATGTTAAGTCTGTATTTCCTGCTATGCTTCATTTTACGTTTTTATAAATCGCAGCTTGGTTAGAGAAAAGACTCAGACTGGTGGGAATATAATTAAATAAAAAGTAAAAATCGTCCAGCTATTAAAACAAATATAGTATCTATTTTTTCAAAAAATTCAAAATACAGTTAGATGTTTTCTATAATAAGTGTAAGTCATATGAAAATATCTGACCTGAAGCTGCATGTTTGTCTTGAGCTCCGTGGCAGAAAACTCTGATCCCACTGGTGTTGATGTAAATTAGAGGTAAACACCTAGAAGTCAAAGTGTGGCTCCGCATGGGCTGACCGGCTGACTTCCCACGCTCCCTGTAGCGCCGTGGGACGGTAGTCTGGAGAGACATCGAATCACGGGTGTAAATAACAAAGAAAAGGTCACAGTTATTAAATTCAATTCAGTTTATTTATAAAGCACCGATTATAAAAGCACAGTTATGTGTTTTAATCACCAATGAAGTCTAATTTGCCCACTATTACGGCAGAACATGTATTGTCCCCCCTTATGATCCAGTGAAGATAGAATAGTTTCTATCAGCAATTCTTAATGTTTATTTATTTAAGCCTACAAAACACATCCATCCATCCATCATCCATCCATCCATCCATCCATCCATCCATCCATCCATCCATCCATCCATCCATCCATCCATCCATCCATCCATCCATCCATCCATCCATCCATCCAACCATCCATCGGGGAAGCGGGGTACAACATGGACAGGTCGCCAGTCCATCGTAGGGCAACACAGAGACAAACAACCATTCACACACACACCTAAGGAGAAACACATCCATTACCTGAAATACTCCTGCTACAGTAGCCAGTAAGGGACAAAATAAAACGACGTCGAAAGGTTGCGCAGTCAGCAGGATCTCCCTCAGATACTGAGGCGAGCCGTCTCCCAGGAGCTCGCCGGCGATCCTCTGGCTTGCAGTGGTCATGCTGCTGCGTGACAGGCGCTCGAGTCGGGTGACGAGTTTGTGTCGGACATTTTTAGTAACGGCTTGAGTGTAGGTGATTGACAGGAAGCCATGCTGCTGATGAGAACCTTCCAGGATTTTAGCTGCCATCTGATATGAGATGGGACAAATCAGTCAGTCTATAGACATGATTACAGAGAGAAGCACAGATCCCAGAGCTGATCAGCATAATTTTGGCTTGAATTCTTGGATGAGCAAATACATTTTTGATCTTAATATGAGACTTTTAGATTAGTTTATAGTTACTTTAAAGGCATTAAGTAAGAAACCATAACTTAAAAAATAGGCAGGACCTCATCCAACAACTCAAGCTTAATTGATGAGGAACTCCAAAAGGAAAGCAAAGCTGAAGCCACTGATGAGGAAGGCTTAGAGAACAGGTTTAATGCAAGAAGCAGGAAATCACTCCACACTAAAAACATCTGATTGTATTGGGTTCTTTAAAATCCACACTTTTGAACATATTTTAAAGCAGCTATGAGGTAAAATGGTATAATAGCTTTTTTTTTTTTTTTTAAGTAATTTGGAAATATTTCCTCATTAAAAATCTGGTGGATTGATTTAAGACATTAAAGTCTGCGAAACATCCAGGAACAGTGGACTTTATTGTCATTTATTCTACCAATTTGTTGCCTCTTTCCTCTCTAGCATTTTAGATATTTTCTGACATATCGAGCTGTCCAACTCCTCCCCGGGACTGAAATAAAATTAAAAAAAAATCAAAGTTTGAAAAACTTAGATCTGAAAAACCTAATTATGAAATCTAAAATTTGAAGACAATGAAAAAAACTGAACCTGAGAAAAATGCAAAGATATCTTCAAAACCTTTTTTGATAAGAACTTTTTCAAAGTGATATTTCTGAATGTTTTAATTGCAATTTAAAAACATGGTCTTTGCTTGCAATAATAATGGACCATATATATACATATATATATATATATATATATATATATATATACACTCACTGGCCCCTTTATTAGGTACCCCATGCTATTAACGGGTTGGACCCCCTTTTGCCTTTAGAACTGCCTCAATTCTTCATGGCATAGATTCAACAAGGTGCTGGAAGCATTCCTCAGGGAGTTTGGTTCATATTGACATGATGGCATCACACAGTTGCCGCAGATTTGTCGGCTGCACATCCATGATGCGAATCTCCCGTTCCACCACATCCCAAAGATGCTCTATTGGATTGAGATCTGGTGACTGTGGAGGCCATTTGAGTACAGTGAACTCATTGTCATGTTCAAGAAACCAGTCTGAGATGATTCCAGCTTTATGACATGGCGCATTATCCTGCTGAAAGTAGCCATCAGAAGTTGGGTACATTGTGGTCATAAAGGGATGGACATGGTCAGCAACAATACTCAGGTAGGCTGTGGCGTTGCAACGATGCTCAATTGGTACCAAGGGGCCCAAAGAGTGCCAAGAAAATATTCCACACGCCATGACACCACCACCACCAGCCTGAACCGTTGATACAAGGCAGGATGGATCCATGCTTTCATGTTGTAGACGCCAAATTCTGACCCTACCATCCGAATGTTGCAGCAGAAATCGAGACTCATCAGACCAGGCAACGTTTTTCCAATCTTCTATTGTCCAATTTCGATGAGCTTGTGCAAATTGTAGCCTCAGTTTCCTGTTCTTAGCTGAAAGGAGTGGCACCCGGTGTGGTCTTCTGCTGCTGTAGCCCATCTGCCTCAAAGTTCGACGTACTGTGCGTTCAGAGATGCTCTTCTGCCCACCTTGGTTGTAACGGGTGGTTATTTGAGTCACTGTTGCCCTTCTATCAGCTCGAACCAGTCTGGCCATTCTCCTCTGACCTCTGGCATCAACAAGGCATTTCCGCCCACAGAACTTCCGCTCACTGGATGTTTTTTCTTTTTCGGACCATTCTCTGTAAACCCTAGCGATGGTTGTGCGTGAAAATCCCAGTAGATCAGCAGTTTCTAAAATACTCAGACCAGCCCTTCTGGCACCAACAATCATGCCACGTTCAAAGTCACTCAAATCACCTTTCTTCCCCATACTGATGCTCGGTTTGAACTGCAGGAGATTGTCTTGACCATGTCTACATGCCTAAATGCACTGAGTTGCCGCCATGTGATTGGCTGCTTAGAAATTAAGTGTTAACGAGCAGTTGGACAGGTGTACCTAATAAAGTGGCCGGTGAGTGTATATACATACATATATATATATATATATACATACATATATATATATATATATATATATATACACTATATTGCCAAAAGTATTTGCTCACCCATCCAAATTATTGGAATCAGGTGTTCCAATCACTTCCATGGCCACAGGTGTATAAATTCAAGCACCTAGGCATGCAGACTGTTTTTACAAACATTTGTGAAAGAATGGGTCGCTCTCAGGAGCTCAGTGAATTCCAGCGTGGAACTGTGATAGGATGCCACCTGTGCAACAAATCCAGTCGTGAAATTTCCTCGCTCCTAAATATTCCACAGTCAACTGTCAGCTGTATTATAAGAAAATGGAAGTGTTTGGGAACGACAGCAACTCAGCCACGAAGTGGTAGGCCACGTAAACTGACGGAGCGGGGTCAGCGGATGCTGACGCGCATAGTGCGAAGAGGTCGCCAACTTTCTGCAGAGTCAATCACTACAGACCTCCAAACTTCATGTGGCCTTCAGATTAGCTCAAGAACAGTGCGCAGAGAGCTTCATGGAATGGGTTTCCATGGTCGAGCAGCTGCATCCAAGCCATACATCACCAAGTGCAATGCAAAGCGTCGGATGCGGTGGTGTAAAGCACGCCGCCACTGGACTCTAGAGCAGTGGAGACGCGTTCTCTGGAGTGACGAATCGCGCTTCTCCATCTGGCAATCTGATGGACGGGTCTGGGTTTGGCGTTTGTCAGGAGAACGGTACTTGTCTGACTGCATTGTGCCAAGTGTAAAGTTTGGTGGAGGGGGGATTATGGTGTGGGGTTGTTTTTCAGGAGCTGGGCTTGGCCCCTTAGTTCCAGTGAAAGGAACTCTGAATGCTTCAGCATACCAAGACATTTTGGACAATTCCATGCTCCCAACTTTGTGGGAACAGTTTGGAGCTGGCCCCTTCCTCTTCCAACATGACTGTGCACCAGTGCACAAAGCAAGGTCCATAAAGACATGGATGACAGAGTCTGGTGTGGATGAACTTGACTGGCCTGCACAGAGTCCTGACCTCAACCCGATAGAACACCTTTGGGATGAATTAGAGCGGAGACTGAGAGCCAGGCCTTCTCGTCCAACATCAGTGTGCGACCTCACAAATGCGCTTCTGGAAGAATGGTCAAAAATTCCCATAAACACACTCCTAAACCTTGTGGACAGCCTTCCCAGAAGAGTTGAAGCTGTTCTAGCTGCAAAGGGTGGACCGACGTCATATTGAACCCTATGGATTAGGAACGGGATGTCACTTAAGCTCATATGTGAGTCAAGGCAGGTGAGCAAATACTTTTGGCAATATAGTGTATATATACATACATACATATATATATATATATATATATACATACATACATATATATATATATATATACATACATATATATATAAATTTAAACAGCCACTATTGCTTAAATTAGCATTTTCCCATTCCCTATTTATTCTTTTTTGATATAATATATCTGACAAAATTGCTTTTATAAAGGTTCTTCCTTTTTAAAATAAAGCATTTTAAAAAAAATATTTAAAGACTTTTAATGATTTTTAATGACCTGCGGAAACCCTGTTATATGATCATAAAAATTAAATAGTAAAATCATTTTTACTTTTTATCCCGTAGGCTTATATAGTTGAGCGGATAAAATCTAATCTTATTTACAAGTCGGTCTTTAACAGAGTTGATCTATCTTGGTATGGATTCGGTTTACTAAAAGTATTTGCAGGTTTCAAGCAAAGAAAGAATAGGAGACACTAGAGTTCCTACAATGAACCAGAAAGTATCTTTGTCATCCTGATAAAATCTTTGGAATTTCATTTTACTGCCTCTTTGAACATATAACATGGCAGTAATTTTAATAATTTAAATAAAGTATCATCCTGGCGCCGGGGAGGGTTCTACGCCCAATCTTAAATGACTCAGATAAGTATAATTGTCAGAAAAATAATTTCTAGTTCCCGATGAAGTCTTATGATAACCGATATGTCATTTCTTTTGAAGCAGTAAGGGTCAGATTTCCTTTTCTAACATATTTCTCTTAAATACTGTCTGAAAAATGTGAACACAGACACTGTAAGCCGCTGTTGATGGATGTTAAACAGTCAACAAAAGAAAAGGAAGCTGGATTCTTACAGGAGGGGAAAAGCCAGAGAAGTGGCTGAAAGAGGCTTGCTTGCTGACGGGTCGAACCAACACAGTACGTCTGTTCAGCTTGTCAGTGCAAGAGAGGACCACTCCTCCGCAGCCGCCCGGGGTCCGAACACCCTCCTCCATACTGGAGGTGAGGAGAGGGAGGACAATGACACGGAAAAAAGATGCAGAAACAGAAAAAAAGTGGGACATGGAGTAAAGACGGAGGAACAAAATGAACAGAAAAGCCAGACACGTACATCACTGTTTCAAATTTTCTTAAAAAATCAGAAAAGAGGTCATTGATTAAAACCCAGAGTTAGATTCTATGTTGATTCAGCAGAAATATTTAGGAATGGTCTTATAATACAGCTCCTCAGAGACTGGACTAACTGAGGACTCTAAACATGAGCCATCATTTGAACACAACAATTAAGATCCCATCCATAGTAATTACCGCGGTGCTGGTTTTTAATGCTCCTTTCTGGTTGCTAGTATAAGACCATCACAACAATAAACTTTCAACAGGAAAAAAAGGAATGAAAGTCCATCTACCAGAAGTCTTTAAAACAGATGCAGAAGATTAGCTTTGACCAGATCTTATCGGCTTGAGAATTCAATCAGTTACTGGAGAGACAGGTGAACGTTTTCCCAAAAAAAAATCAAATTATATCCAAACCAGCCAATCATTTCAATCATATTGTGTCACTTTAAAGGGGTCATAGAATGATTCTATAGGGTATTCTGGTGCTGGTTCTTAAGGTTTCTGAATAGGGTGTGTAACATTGGTTGGGCTGAAAATGGCATATTTGCTGTTCAACGAGCTCTAATGCAGCCTGGATAAAAGCCCCAGAATGGAACGACAGGTTTTCTTCCTTTTCTGGTATGAACATGAATATTTAGATGAGCTGTGCTCTGATTGGTTGGTTTACAACGAGCGAAGCTGCTGAGCAAAGACGCATCATAGCAACAAGCACTCACTCACTGAAACATCAAATTGTTGATATGGTAGGGTGACCAGACGTCCTCTTTTTCCTGGACATGTACTACTACTACTATTTTTCATACCTAAAAAAAAAAGGTTTGGGGGAATTTCAAAATTGTCTGGGATTTTGGTCGACTACAGTGCAGCACATAGTCGAAACACCGGGCACTAGAACTGAGCCGTCAGCTCCGGGGCTGATCCGGGAACCCTGGCAGACGGGGGAAGGGAGCCACCACGGGACGGAGCAACCGTACCCGACCCGGTGACGGTGGCCTGGACAACGGCGGCTCCATGCTTCCCCCCACCTGCCTTACCGGACCCCAGCCCCGCTCCTCCGGCTGAGGACGGGCAGCTCATGGCTCTCTGCTGAGGTCCGGTCCCAGTCAGGGGCCAAGCAGTCGACACTTCATAACCCCATCCAGCATTCCCCCAGGGTGTGACAAAAGTACAGACCAGAACCAAATAAGGCAACATCCCGAAGTTTATGTCAACTGGGGGGTTCATCTGGGTTGCCCGTTTTATTGTGGAAGTTTAGAATTGTGAGATTTGCAGAGAAAGGAGGAGTTGATGGGGTTTGAACTTCTCTGTACGTCCATTTCACCCACTGAAGTATCGTTATTCATCTAGGACATTGGAATCTCAGTTTTGCATTCTATGACCCCTTTAATTTCTGTCCACACTTTTTAATACAGCAATTTTTCCTGTCTGTCCAGCATCAGAAAAGATGGAGAAAAAAAATCTTAAATAAAGCAGCAGAGCAGCAAGAGACGGTTTATGAAGAACTAAGGCTTCAATGGCTGCTCTCACAAAGGAGCCTCACCACAGCTGTGTCCTTGCAATGTAGAATGATTCCTTCATATTGTCCAGATTGAAAGTCACGCCCTGGACTAGAGACATATGCAAGAACAACCTTTAAAAAGATTGTTTAGTCACAGAGTGTGGCTGCTCCTGGGGAAGGTAAAGGTCATGTTAAAGAAAAGAACACTTACTGTATTTAGGGAAACACAAACTGATGCGAAAGCTTATAAAAATGAATAGAAATTGGGCCTAAATATGTAAAACCAAGTTTAAAGACAAATTAGGTACATATCATATAGTGCAACTAATCTGAAATAAAAGGACCCAGTCATGTCCTATGTCTTTAGAAAAAAACAAAACCCCCCCCAAATGTTCATGTTAAAGGTATTGCTGAGGATTTTCACACATTTTTAAAAGACCTGCCCTCACCACTTTTAAAAACAAATGCATGTGCAAGTTACTGTTCTCATAGCTCATACAAGCTTACTGTGACTAAACCTGCGCTCTGACCCCTAAATCCATTAATATCTAGATAGAGAGTGGAAAATATAGTAGACTTTACAGCGAAATCAACACCCCGTTGGTCACGTAACTCCTCCTCCACTGCGCGTTGCATCTTTGTTATCAGTCACCATAGGCTGTCCGGTAGCAACAGCCTATGGCGACAGAGGGCCGCTGTGACAGCAAATACCATAATGCTTTGCGATGAGAGAAAGCATTCTGGGATATATCTGCCTTTTCTGATGGCTTTCTTTTTTTCCTCATACACTTCGTCGACACTTTTTCTCTGAGGACTCTTTGCCATTTTCAAAAAAACGCGGTGAGAAAGGTGAGCTTCAATGACTGTGTGAAACAGTAGCTCACTACAGATATACGCCTGAAGGTGCACATGAGCAGAAAAAGATGGCTAACCTTACGTAAACATATCACCAGAATGATTGACAGTTAGGGAGACCACCTGATGATCCACCCGGAAATATAAGATTGTCCTCTATACCTTTAAGATAAAGCCATGTTCATCCTGAAGCTGTTTACTTTGTCTTTTTTTAGCCTAAAACGAATTTTTGCACCAGCAGGAAGACACACTGTTGTAAGCCATTGCTGTCTGCTAGCAGTACTTAACCATGCATCCATCGACTTAGCAATCTCTGTTACTTTATGCTGCGATGAGACCGAATTTTCCTTGTCAAAAAGGTGTCCAATGCCTTTTTTAGCACTTTGAATCAAGGCAAACGCTTAAAGAGTCAAAAATGCAGTAGTTATGTGTCCACAAAGTATATTGTCTAACCCGCTGGGAGGGCACTTCCTGTTCTATGCTTAGCTAGTTCTTGTGTACAATAACAGATGCAATTAAAAGAGTAGCTTTGTATGCTGTGATGTGCAGGAAAGATGTTTAAGAGGTGTTTAAGTACACCTCGAAACATCATGTGTAAAGACAGTTAATCTAGATAAGGAAACCAATTTTAAAAACTATTCTAGCCTCCTTGAAACTGGCCAGGCACTCTGGAACTTCCCGCTACCATTTATAATGGCTGAAAGGGAAGATACAGCTCTGCCAGTGTCATCAAGTCAGTGCTTTTGTTCCTATATTTACCGAATTTTTATACCTCTGTACCGCCTTTATTTTTAAAAAGCGCCAAATCTAGAGACTATTTTATGTTAATTACTGTCTATTACTGATGTAGCTGACTCACTAAATAAAATAACTGCCTTTTCAATCAATAGCGTCATTCTCCTTGTTTCTCTGCACTGCTTTATTCTTTTTCGTGTGTTTTGGCAGTTGGCAGACAACTAATAGTGCATTACTGCCACCAACTGGTATGGAGTATGAAACTAAAGTGCTGAATTTTATTGACTTACTTCTATAAAAGCTGTTACTCTTTAAAAACCCCAGTGATTTTCCTTTCTGGCTATCCTAATATCTTTCTGCACTGTTTTGACCGACAGCCAAAGGAAAATAAATAGGTAATCGGAGGGATTCGGAGTCTCCTTTGCAGTTGGATGAAATGGAATATGCAAAGTAGGCGATGACGTAATTAAGTGGCTTTAGCAAAGCCAACTCTTCTTGCTGAGCAGTTGGCAACGCTGAACTCTGCAGGAGGAGAGGCCGTGGCTTGGACGCAGCGACTGTCTCCCTGTTCTAAAGTTGGAAACGCAACAAGCCAGATCCTCCAAAATCGCAGCAGGAGTCAAAGGTCCCTAAAGCCCCGTTAGCTCTCGTCTTAGTGAACTTCAAAATTCACATTATATTCCAAGGGCTAGTCAGGTCTTATCTCCTTTGGCATCTAATCATCTTATGCTATTAATCTCACTTATTTTTTTTTTCTTTGTATGCAACCAAAAGAATTTACCAGCGTAGAGATTTGTATAATCATAGCGCGTGATTAGGCCCCTTTGAGAAAATGTATCCCACTATTATGCCGATTATGTGAGATCTATCAGATGCTCTATTTGAACTTAAACCTTTAAGTTAGGGAAATAGGGACAATATAAAAGAGCTTCAGGTGGTCAAAGCTTTGCATTTGAATAAACAGAAGCTCAACTACTCACAAATTAATACAGGGAATCTTTCCCAGAATTTGTTCCCTTTAACTTTACTGTTCGGTTTTACCAAAACAACTCTCATCTCATCAAATGAACTTGTATATAAGATGATTGCCTTCCTTTTCTGTAGCAAAAATAAGAGCATATAAAGGTTTTTTCCCATAAGGACCGTGGTTTGGCTTATTTGTGTTTTCATGCTGAAATACTTTAACTTGTCAAAACCAGGATGTCACTTGAATATTAAGTCACGCTAAGATGGACAGGTTTGTTAAAACCCTCACACATTAAACCCAAAGTTGTTTCCTTTCTAACAGTCATTTTACAGTTGCAGCTTCTCGGTAGCACAGCTGGAAAACATCAACCTCTACTTGTGTGAGCTGCACGGAGCCAATAAGGGTAAAGTGTCACCTCTCCTCTTTGGAGGCATGAAAGAGTAAGACTATAGTTTAATGATCATCACAGAGTTGAAAGAAAAGGTTAAAATAGGTAAAACAGGATCATCTTTTGAACTTTCCAGAAGACGGGAAACATCCCTAAAACAGTTAGCAGTGAATCACTGCTTTACCTTTCCACCCTCATGTCCTCCACACCCTCTAAGGTTTCTGCGTCCATCCATTTTAGAGTCCTTGTGACCTTCTGTAATTTCTCCTCCCTACTCCACCCTCTCTGTCCTCATCCTATTCTGATACTATCGCTGATTCAGTTATGCATTTGGCCTCCCACATTTGCTTGTCCATTTTAATGGTCTATTTATTTTAGAGCATGACAAAGCTAAGCCAAGGCAAGACATTTTTTATCTGCCAAACTCGATCCAATCTGACCCTTTGTGCACAAATAACCTGGGCTGGGCGATAGAATACTGAGCAATTATCTATTCAGGATGATTAATACAGACTGTGAGCAATATTGTATAAGTGAATGAGAGAGATTAGAGTGGGCCAGGAGCCCAGAGATTCTCCACTGTGGCTTGAACAACCATGACTGTAACCTGGCATGGATAATGAATTGCTTCTGCTTGCCAGATCTGTGGTTGGTAAAAGTGTGTTGAGACACATTGTTAAATGTGCATTCACTGAAATAACCTAGAAATGAGAAAATTGACTAATTATCTACTTGAGGAGGCATAGAGGTCTAGTAAAGAGATTAGGCCTGGCACCGTCTCAAAAGCAATTGAACACACACCTGTGGAGAACAGAGCTAATCATAATAACCATCCACAGCATCGACACACTCTGGAACCGTCTAACCGCTGACGTTGTTCTGGCTAAGCTTGGTGACTCTGTGCGAAACATATGTGGTCCAACAGGATTACAAGTGGAGCAGCAGGCAACGCAGGGAGGTCTGTGGGATGCCAGTTAGTCAGCGGGGTTCAAAGCCAAGCAAATGGCTTCAAGTCCTCTTTGACCTTTGCTGATGTTCATAAGATCCAACTCAACGCATTTAAAAACCTGGCAAATCAGAATCAATAATGATTATCATGTTTGCTGTGTGTGTGTGTGGGGGGGGTCTGTTGTTTATGATGGGGTTAAATACAGACAGGGCCTCTGGTGGTCCAACTCACTCTCATCATGTCGCTACTTCGAAACTAAAGCTCAGATTCATGAATGTGTTGACTTAAAAAATGCAGCCACACATTCTGTTGGATGCAGTTTCCTGCTTTTTGATTACTAAGATTATTTCTTTATTATCTTCTCAGAGCCGGTGTTCTGTCAGATAAGCATACCTCGTGAGACCAGACTCATACTCAGTACGCATGCACAAGACGTCAGATTTGCATTTATCCCTTTAGTTTTGTTTAAAAAAAAAATAAAAAAAACATTTTAAGGTGAGATCACTATACGCTTCAAAACACAAAAAAAAACCCAAACAATTAAATTGTTTTTTTGCACATGACTAAAGGGATACACGCCCATTGAGATAACTTAAACAGGGTTCATACAGGAATGAGTAACTCTAGTTTAATGCTTCTTTAATGCTCTCAGAAAAATGTTTAATGCCATGTATAAATAATAATAATCTATAAATAACATGGCAAAATCCTTCGTCATCTTTACCATCGAAAGGCTGCAGCCATGTCCTGAATTCCTCGTTTTCCAGCCACTTTTGTTCAAATTTGCATATTCCCCATTCTTTAGCTTTTTCTCCGCCTCGAGCTTATTTTCCAAACATACGGCTTTACGATCAACTGGAAGCAGTTCTGCGTAAACACGAGGAACCATTTATATCTGATATATCTGACGAAATTGTAAAATAAAGGATTTTAAATGCCACTATAATCACATTTAATTAGCTTAAATGCCAATTAAGGCCTAATAAAAAAAATATTAATTTAATTACTTTTTTGTCACTTAAGTTTTAATATTTTTTAATCATACAACGAACATACAAATAACAAGGAACAAAGTACACAAACATGAACATGTCTGGGTAGCACCTTCTTTTCAGTTTTTCTGTTTATTCAATGTCCATTTTCACCATTTTTTTTTATCTGTGGTTCTTGTAGTCTCAGTCTGTGTGTTAGTCTTTCCATGAGAAATATGTCTTCAATCGTCGTGATCCATTAGTCCTTTGATGGCAGGTTTGACTTCCCCCATTTCCTTGTTATACATTTCTTTGCAGCTATCAACATCACTTTTACCAAATAGTTATCCTTTTCATGGATAGCATCATCACCAAAATCGCACAAGTAGAGAATTTCAGGTTTCATTGGAATTACATACCCTAATACTTCACATAATACGCTGCAAACCATTTCCCAAAACTCCAAAAGTTTTGAACACTTGCAAAAAACATGGGAATGGTTGACATCTATCTCCCCGCACTCTCTCCAACATTCTTGATGCCTATGCATTTGTTTACTTTTGGATTTGGGCGTCATAAAAAATCTTATTAGATTTTTCCAGGCAAATTCCCTCCATGTCCGAGAGCCAGTAGTTGTATGGTGTAGTTTCCACATGTTGAGCCAATCAATATCTTCAATTTCTAAGTCAAATTCTCTTTCCCATTTTCCCTTTACATAGTTGTATGTTTATCAAGGCTTATTAGGGCTTTATTACTGCCTTTGTATGCTTTAATTATAATTTGGACCACTTCGCTCGCTTCCACGGAGGGCCTCGTCTGTATTTCCTTTTTGTAATAGTCTCTCATTTGGAGATATCTGAAAAAGTCATGCTTATTAATTTAATTACTTTAATGATTTTTAAAGACCTGCAGAAACCCTTTTAAAGTTGATTTTTTATACAAAACTAAAGCGAAAAACTAAAGGGATAAACGGGTATTGACTTTGGGTATATGACAGAACACCGGACTGCTCTTGGGAACTTTGAGATCTTGCATTCGAGGGCAGCGGAGTAATGAAGGTACAGAAGATATGCTCATAGTTAGCCAATTTCACAGCCAACATTTGGACTCAGAAAAGAGGGGAATACAGGTGTGTTTATGGAGGCGGAGCTACGCACTTTTAAGTTTGGCATCAAGTAGAGAAAAATGACTTTATTCTGGCTGTTAAAACAAAATATATGCTTCAAAACGTGCCGATTGCAAAGCAATACAACTTGATCCAAAAAAGGAATAAAAAAAAAAGAATAAAATAAGGTTTTATGCAACCGACAGTGTTTTTACAAGCAGTGAGGGGATTCGTACCTGCATCGGTAGTGATCAATGTTGAAGCTGCCCACTTTACACTTGATCTTTGTGTAGACGTCTTGGATATCAACCGAGGCGCTAAGATCTTCTAGTTCACTGATCACACGGATTTCTGGAGAGAAACAAATAGTAAAAAATAAAGGTTTTAACTTTATTAACAAGAGAGAGTAAGCAGAATTTAAAAAAAAGCTGTTGTATTGTGTATTATTGGTGTTATTCTACAAATTCAACCGTCATACCAGTAGAGAGCAGGATCTATAGCAGTGGCCAGTCTGCTTAGATGAAGCTTATAGCCCCTGGAGGTGGCTTAGTACAACATCAGACTGGGTCAATCGGATATTTCTTATAATAAGGGGCAGAAATGCACATCCCAGGACAAAACGAAAGAAAAGGGAGTGAAATGAGTTAGGAAAGATCCCACAAATATGGAAAAGAAGGTAACAGAGGACCCATGATGGGTGTTTCTGAGTCGAACGGGGCCTAAGAGGATTGGCCTCCATGTGATTAGAAACAGCATTTACAGGTTGCTCCAGTCTGAGCTGACAGAACTGACAAAGATCCTGGATAGGTGACCACAGGTTTTTTAGTAAAACTGAGCCAAGGTCCGTTTGCTCCAACTTAAAGCCTGTTTGCTGCTACCATGAGTCCGGAGAATTTTCACATGCCCACATCAGCGTCTGGCTGATTAGAGTTGAATGCAATCCGTCTGGCTGTCTGTCTGTCCACCCACAGCAGGCAGCATGAGTAACATGAGCGACCGTTTTACTTTGTGCTGAACACAGCCTCTAGGCTTAGCACTCCAGTCTAATTGTTTCCACTGAGAAAAGTCCCACAGTAACAAACCAGCTGGGGAAAAATGGGCATCATGCATGTGAAACTAAAGATCTTACACTGTTGCTTAGTGGCGGCTCTGAAAAATATCCCCCAGCAGCTTATTATTAATGAAAAACAAAGCTTTTCTCAAAGTTAGTGTGGATACTGAATGGAAAGCTTCTCTCAAGTTGTTTCCCTCAGAATCCCAGAGTCATGACACAGGAACATCAATGACAAATGTGTTTTCTTAACCCATCCAGAGTTCTAGGATCTCCTTCCCTCACATTAAATGCTTCAGCAGTCTGGGTCTAATCCCATCCTTTACAAACGGCAAGCCAACATATAATGTATTACGCTACGGAGAGACAGAGAGCGTGTGACAGTGCTTTGGCTTTGTTGAACTGATACAACAGAAAAAACAATATTTAGAGGCATTAGCATAGCCTTAGCTATGTAACACAACATAAAAACTGGTGCACATTAAGAAATAATATGAATATCTGCAAATTAAAGAACACCAGAACAACTGGTAACTTTATTCAAAAATATACTAAACCACCAGTATGCTGGTGAAGATTCTCAGTCATCCAGATCATAGTCATTCCAAAAAAGCTGTAGGGAAATGATGTTTAAAAGTTAAATCAATCTGGCTTAAACATGTATATAAATGTACTCTTTATCAGACGATATTGTCCCAAAAGTTAGGAAATTTCTATAAAAAAAAAAAATTCTGTCTTAAAATCTGTGGGGGTTTTCTTCGTTATCTTATGCAGGCCAGTTAGTTATACATCAGCCTGAACACCTAAATTCGGCCAATCATATATCAACGGTCATCTGGCAATTAAATTTTTTCAGTGTTAGCATCTTGCTTTATATGTTGCAGCTTATATATGCAACGGTTGAAATAGGAATAATTTACTTTCCCATTGAGTTCCGTCCCAGTGTTCACAGGGATGGACGTCTGTGTCTTCGGCAGGCGTAGAGCTAACAGAACTGGCAGCGTTGCGAGGCAAGGACTCAAACATGTATGGCTGTTAGCCTTCTACACCAAACCAAGCTTCTGCCGCCCTGGAGTCCTCTTCCACAACATCTTCGTCCCCGCTTTCCTCCTCTAAATAAAAAATGTATGACGGAGGAGACTCATCCATGACCTCCGACACTAAACTCTCCTCCTCTTGCATGTTTCCTCTGTCCATAGCGTTCCTTGACAGTGTCGTTTCTAAGTCACCAATTTAGTGCTACTTGGTCCCAATGGAATTTCCCATTGGGAACCTACTAGCGCTAAGTTGCTAACTGGTTAGCATGATGCTTCTGAGACAACGGCTACAACCAAACTTGCTTGCAAACCTTCCGGCACAACAATCCTGCCCTCTTGATAAACGACCAATTACATTTACTTATTCACTCGTGTAAAGTCGGTCATCCCTCTGGAGAATTCAGAAATGAAACAGTGAATTGAGAATTTAAAATTGAAACTGGTTTTGTTTGAAGTAATTTCTTGGTTTAAAAATATAATTGTGATTGCATTTAAATAGTTAAAATAGCTATTTTTGCTGGGGCCCATACGAAGATCTACTCTGGTAAACAAGTTCTGCAACTTAGGCTTTTGGACTTTGGTACTTAGACCTCCCGCCCAGGGTGGGCGCTTGTGCTCTTGTTTTATTTGGAGATGGTGAAACCACATTTACAATGCTGAAAGTATAAAATGTAATGCTTAGACGTTAAATACATGGTATTATTTTGCATTATTAACTGCTTTGTTTAAAAAATCATATAAAAATTGAAGTTCTAAAAAAAGAAGAAGGTAGTTTTAGAAGGATTCTGCTGCACTGGCCTCAAAGCTTCAAAACAAACCCCAGAAAACTGATTTAAGTATGTGGGAACAGATCTTTTGTTGCATGTAAGTTAACAGAAAGCCTGCTAACTATATGATCCAGATGCTGATGCTGCATCTGTTCTTTTAGTTTACATAACACAAAGGAATACAGATATCCCTACTGCTGGACCTGAATGTCTAAATGGTTTCACCTGACTTACAAGTTTGCTGAGGAATATAATTTTGTCTTATTTACTTCCGTATCCAAATAGGGTTGTTTTCTCCTGCAAAGAATGGAGTGGATGTAGTACTTTGCTTTCTAAAGATACAGCAATTTTCTAAGTTAATACCCCAAATAGGATGTTATACTTAAGATTAAATGTATAATTTTTGAAGATGGAGGTGAGTTAACCATCTTTTCTGCTCCAATGAAACATTCCACAATAAAAACCTTAAGTTTGATGTTTGTTTTCTCAGATGATTAACATTAAAGCCAGCGATTAATGGTTGATGGCATTGTTCATCACATTGTAAATGTTAGGATGACTAGAAGTGGTTTGCTTCCATGGTCGTGATGCTCATTTAAAGTCAGTGTAACTGCCTCAGTACAGCATCATGTTCTCAACTGTAAGCATATCAGTTCGTGTGACCTTAGGATGACCTTCAGGATCCTCTTGGAGTAATGTAGGATAAATCCACTGAATTTCGTTTCCAAGCTTGAAGACGTTTTGCTTCCCATCCAGGTAGCTTTTTCAATTCAAATGTTGGAAATAATGGTGAGTTTGACTCTTTATACACTAGCCCAACAAAGCCTCGTTTTGGCTTAGAAAACATACAAACTGAAACGGACGAGCTTGTCCACTCCTTTGGAATCGGGGTCGTTTGGCTCCTTTGTTAACCTGAATTTTTACATTTTGCATTGAAAAAGCTTCTTGGATGGGAAGGAAAACGTCTTCGAACTTGGAAACAAAATCCAGTGGATTGTTTTAAACTTTTCTGGAATGACTACTACCTGGATGACTGAGAACTTCACCAGCATTAACCATATATATCAAGAGAACTTTTTGAAATTGATGAATATAAATAACTATACAACACTTTTTTATACAGAATTAGTCAAATTATTCCTTTTTCTATGATATTGTAATTTAGAAATTGACAGTAGTTCTAGTTAACTATTTTACCTTCAATTCCCTTGTATAAAGAAGATCAATCTTTATTTTAGAAGTGATTTATAGAACGGCAGAAACTGGGTGAGATACCTGATTTTCTTGCAGCTGGGTCGGTAGCAAATAGTTGGACAGTGACCTTAGGTAACATCCACTGCATCCAAAGGCTGACCTTCCCACTGGTTCCCTCGATGCTGCTGGTTTGTTGCTCCAGAGTCACCGTGTCTGCAAACGGACCATCATCTCCAGCCGGCACTGAGTCGTCCTGTGGAGCCAAAACAGGAAACTGTTGGAAAACTGGTCATATAAACTAAAGGAAGAGCTCAACATTACAGAGATTTCATATCTTAAAAAAGATAAGAGTAAGAAACTGTAGTTGATCGGTTCAATGGATCAAACAGATGGACCAAAACACGTATTAATATTTAAAGTACAGGGGAATGAGCGGAAAAAGAAGATAAATGACGGTCCAGTGTTTGCGCTGCAGCTGAAAGCTGATGTGAGGGCGCAGGTCCAACCATGTGTTGGGTGCATGCAAGTGTTTGCAAGTGTTGTCACTGTGCATGTAGCCATAACAAAGCAACCACCGACAATCCAGCCTTTCTATGTGAAGATGACATCAATGTCTGGTAAACAGAGCAGTATACAGCATGGAGGTGGGGGGGGACCTTTGGTGTGAAGCTGTCATTGGTGTTAACCCCCAAGCTGAGCCACCATCACCCACACGGCCTTCTTTCAATGAAGTACGGCAGGACTCACACATCTATGCATCCTGGGAGAGAATAGAAGAGAAGACCGGAGGGCGGGGGTGGAGGTGTGTGTGTGGGGGGGGGGTGTAGTGGAAAAACAAGCAGGATGCGGTGGAGGATTCATCTTTAAGCTCTCAGCTCATCGCGGAGGGTTTGGCAAGACACTAACAGCACAGAGGACCGTTTTTTTTTCTTTTTTCTCTGGCTCTCTTTTTTCCTAAATCTGTTTTTCAAACATGTATCTATGTGGCTGACTGGCAAAGTGAAAAGCCTGTAAACAAACAGCGTGAGCGTCTGCAGTTTTGGCTCTGCAGAGCTGCACTTTTTTCCACTGTTTCTCCCCGTCACAGTGTGGTAATGGCAGATTGTGTCATGGTTATTGAGCCTGGCTGTGGCTGGTGAGGAGGTTATCAACCATCTCAATTAGAAAGCCCACAGCTGCTAAGGCTGATTACAGTGTCCTAAAGAGGATCCAGATGAGGAAACTATGCCCCCCCCATCCACAGCTCGGGTACTATGCTCATTTGCAAACTTGATTTAATCACAGACTTGAGTGTGGCTCAAAGCAGAAAAAAAGAGAGGATGACAAATAAAATGAAGAACTGAAGGATTATGCTGAATTAACAAATAGACTGGGGACCACAGGAATGTGACTGCCAGTAGCCGACATTAGTTGGATTATTGCTATAAAGCTTTACAACCTATAGAATATATCCATCTATCCATTTTCTGACACGCTTTATCCTGAACGGGGTCGCAAGGGGTACTGGTAGAATATATCCCTATGATAAAAATTTTATTTCATTTTTGTTGCAATCAAAAACCAAGTTTCGGAGATGGAAATTTGAATAACTTGTAATAGATTTACATTTTTGATTTTGTTTAAATTTTTGGTTTTCAATTTTTTCTTTTTTTTTTTTGGATAATTACCCAAAGATTAAGGCATATCATTTTAAAATAATGACCTGCATGTAATTATCACAAATGTATGTGACTATGTAACTATGTAATTACCATTAGGTTACCACATAACATTTTCTATTACTGGCCACCAAATACAATTATAAAACTGAACTCAAGTTACATATAAATAAGAGTTTAGTTAAGCAGATTGGCTTGCCGTCTTCTAGGTTTGGTTTTCTGTTATATACCAAGTAATAAACTGCATTTTAACAGATAACACATTCATTTATTGCTGCCTGTGGAATGAATATGAGTTTTGTCCACCTAAATTCCCATAAAGTTTTTCTTGTTACCTAGTAATATAGTGTAATTTGCTATTATTACCAGGTTATTGATTAGGGCTGGGTATTTTTGTCAAAGTCCTGAATCGATTCGATTTTGATCAATACAGTTCTAAATCGATTAATTTCGATTCGATCTGTTTTTAAAATATTGAAAGTGGTTCAACTGTGTGTCAGAATACTCCTGTATTTTATTTTTTCCTGTCATATTAAACACAAAGTGCAAACTTGTAAATCAGACAGTTTAAGCTTGAGAAGTGAGCAAAACTGTCTCATAAGTGCAAACTTGTTTGTGAAAAGTGAAAAAGTGAAGCTTTACTCGAGCAAGCAGACGTGACACAGCAGACATGCATGAGCTGCATTATCTTCCTGCACAAACCATATGTGCAACGTTGTCTGTATCAACTACAGGGTGATTGCTGGTCAGCCCCCATTTGTTAATGTCTTCAGTCAACCTATTGGCTTTATTTGCTGCTGTCTGGCTTGAAGTCATCTTGAGTGCATCTTTCCTGCTCATTTGAATGTGAACGTCACGCGCGTCACTATAAAATGACTCGATCTCATTCCCTAGACATCGATTCTGCAAAAATGTAAAGGAATCGATTCAAAATCGATTAAATCGATTTTTTTTACCCAGCGCTATTATTGATGTTCTGTAAAAGAGCGTTACCGAATGTTGTTACTAACGAACATGCAGCCCTTTAGAAACCCATCCTTGCTCCTGAATCCAGATGAAAACCCGCCCCCACAAGTGAAAAGAATGCAATCTATGGAGCTCAATCTGAGAAACTGAAAATAAAAAAAAAGAAATAAAAGAAATGAAATATGAATAAAAATATCAAGATAATAAATGAAAATATAAAATTTCATAACAGTTAAAAAAAATGGAAAAAATATTAGAAAATAGCAGTTTCTTTAAAAAACACATTTTAATGCCATCAACAACACTGCAAAATCCTTTGTCATTTTTTCCATCGACAGGCTCTAGCCATGTCCCAAATTCCTTGTTTTCCAGCCATTTTTATTGAAATTTGCATTTTCCCCATTCTCTAGACTTTTCTCCACCTAAAGCTTCTTTTTCGAAGCTTTCAGGGAGCAGTTCCGCACAAACGCACAAAGCCATTTATATCTGATATAATATATCTGACGTAATTGTTTTTATAAACTTTTTTTTTTTAATACAGCATTTTTAATGCCACGATAATCATAATCATAATTTCATTACTTAGAATGTTTTTTAATGACCCGGGAAAACCCTGATTTAAATAACATGTTGTTTGTTTGCAACAATAATGGAACAAATTTCACTATTTATCCCTTGAATTACTATAACAAAACGTGTACAAAAAAACAAAGAAAACTTCCCTCCAAGTTTTAATCCTGCACCATGCATGTTCATGCGTGTGTCTGCAGTGGTAGTGACGGGTAATGAGTAACATGATTCCAGTAGTAATGGAGTCAGTTGGTCTCCCAGTGAGATATTCCTGTGCTAGCTACCATTTCGAGACTAATTATTGCTGAAATGGAGTCAAAACAAAAAAGTGTTTGTGTGTGTCTGCCTGTAGGGGCGTGTGTGTGTGTGGTTGGGCCTGTTTGGTTTACAGTTTGGCCCGTCGTTGGGATTAGGCTCGGCACTGTCATGTGTGGAAACAGGAGCCAGTATTGGCGCTGTGGGAAGTTGCAGACCACAGTGTACCACCGCGTGATTACGCTCCAGCATCGGACACCCCGACTGCTCCAGCTTCCCCATCCAGAGCAGCTGCTCTCAATTTAAAACAAATTTTCATTCAAACAGGTCAGAGGAAGCGGAAATGATGGTTATTTGACAGACATCTTGATTTTTATTATACCTTAGTGTCAAAAATTCAAGAAAACTCAACCAGGGTAATAAAAAATTTTTGCAAATTTCATAAGCTTATTTAAAAATGTAAGATTAACAGTTTGAATTAGGTTCAGTTACAAAATGAAATGTATATGAGTGTTAAATATGATGGCTAAATTACATAAAACCTCTCCAGACTGATGGCAGTCAGGATGCGATAGATGTGGGATGTTCACAGGCTGCCCAACTGTGGCCCCAAACAATCGCACACATTCTCAGAAGGAGTTATTTTCCCACACCTCCACAAGCCAAGCTGTAAAGTATACAGTTTAATTCCTGGGCCTCTATGCTATAAACGGGCTGAGGATCCGGGTTTATTTTCTCTGCAGAGTTTGTCTTTCCTCATCAGAGAGACTCAAACATTGGAAGACAACAGCAGGCTGGGGAGGTGTCAAAGAGAGATGGAGGGAAACACTGAATGGGTAGAGAGAGGGAGGGACAGGAGGGAGGATGGAAAAAAAGGCACAAGAATGAAAAAAGAAAGCACAGGACAAAAGAAAAACCAACAAAATATCAGCTACATGGCTGGATAAAGCTTTAAAGGGACAGCAGGTAAGAAAAGATAAGTCGGTGGACGCTTTGCCAAAACAAAGCATGTCAAAGAACAAACTTTACCATTTTTTGAGGAAGTAGTCCAATTTTAATGCCACTAAAACAAAAATGACAAAAGTAACTTTCAAGATCCTTAAATCAGATATAAGAACAACCATAAATATACGTTAATATAATGTATAACACATTATTATATTAAGGTAGGCTCAGTAATGATCTTAACAGCACAGTAGTTGCAGTGTTTGGTTGTGTGAAGGCTAACAGGGACATTCCCAAACCACTGGGACTACAGAGAGGAAGAAGATTCACTCCTGGAAAGGAAAACAGTCGTCAAACGTCCCAGGAGTGCAAAGTCCTATAATATCAGCCAATAAATCCACAAAGAACCCTAAAAAAACCCAAAACAAAAAAAGATCTCTATTGTTACACCAGTTTGCCTGTAAATGCAAAAGTTGGGGCTTGGGGCCCGACTGAGGGATTGCCTTTGAGTCAATGAGTCGATGCAATCGACTGGTTTTCCTTAGATAGAAACTTTGAATACATTTCACTGTATGATCTGGTGAACTGTAAAGTGCCTTGAGATGACATGTGTTGTGAATTGCCGCTATATAAATAAACTGAATTGAATTGACTGAAGTCACAGAGGGAGTGAAAAAACTCCACAGTGGCAAGGCTTCAACATTTGCCCTGGGCTCCTTAGGTCTCTGGGTGTCATTGGGCTGTCGTGGCTGACATTCCGTCAGTGCGGAGGAAGGACGCCACCAAAGAATCTGCGGATTCATAAAGCCAGGGAAGAACACAGAGAATCTCAAGCGACATCTGAAGAGCCAACATGCTGCCATACTGAAGAAGAGAAGAAATGGGTGGGCTTGTAGTAATGGGAACAGGTGTGTGTGTGCGGCCACAGGCGCATGCATTTAAATGTATATATGTGTGTGCACGGGCACGCATGCATGAGGCTTTGTGTGTGCACCTTCCTGTGCCTGTATCTGTCTGTCTCTCTATCATAGAAGAAAGATGCTCTACTGATACACTGGATATTAATCGTTTAAATTTCTTCCTCCCAACTAGACAGTGACACCACAGCCAAATCAGAGGTTGGGGAAGGAAGGGAAGTCTGTGGCAGAGATGTTGGGAGCCCCCCCACTGTACAAACCTGACGCCAAAGAGCAGAAAGGCCTGGAGAACTCAATGGCAAATAGGATTGGGCTTTCTGGCCTGCCTGCAAGGAACATTGAGGATGAAGACTTTGTGGACATGATGAGACAAGCCAACAAAAGGTTCAATGTGTGCAGTGTGATATATGTTAAAAAAGAATCAGTGTGTGAAGTTCTATTCTGCACAGAGTTATATAAATAAAATGGAGAAAAAGAGAATCAGTGTGTGAAGTTCTATTCTGCACAGTGTTATATAAATAAAATAGAGAAAAAAAAGAAGCAGTGTGTGGAGGAGTTTTATTCTGTACAGTGTGATATATATGTAAAAAAAAAGCAGTGTTCGGAGAAGGTCTATTATTTACAGTGTTGGCTAAAATGACTAAAATTTGACTAAGACTAAAATTGATTTTTGTCATTTAGACTAAGACTAAAACTGAATCGGGAAGGCAATGACTAAATATGACTAAGACTAAAATTGATTTTTGTCATTTAGACTAAGACTAAAACTAAATCGGGAAGGCAATGACTAAATATGACTAAGACTAAAATTGATTTTTGTCATTTAGATTAAGACTAAAACCAAATCGGGAAGGCAATGACTAAATATGACTAAGACTAAAATTGATTTTTGTCATTTAGACTAAGACTAAAACTAAATCGGGAAGGCAATGACTAAATATGACTGAGAATAAAATAGATTTTTGTCATTTAGACTAAGACTAAAACTAAATCGGGAAGGCAATGCCTAATTATGACTAAGACTAAAATTGATTTTTATCATTTAGATTAAGACTAAAACTAAATCGGGAAGGCAATGCCTAATTATGACTAAGACTAAAATTGATTTTTATCATTTAGATTAAGACTAAAACTAAATCGGGAAGGCAATGCCTAATTATGACTAAGACTAAAATTGATTTTTGTCATTTAGATTAAGACTAAAACTAAATCGGGAAGGCAATGCCTAATTATGACTAAGGCTAAAATTGATTTTCGTCATTTAGACTAAGACTAAAACTAAATCGGGAAGGCAATGACTAATTATGACTTAGACTAAAATTGATTTTTATCATTTAGACTAAGACTAAAACTAAATCGGGAAGGCAATGACTAAATGTGACTAAGACTAAAATTGATTTTCGTCATTTAGACTAAGACTAAAACTAAATCGGGAAGGCAATGACTAAATGTGACTAAGACTAAAATTGAGTTTTGTCATTTAGACTAAGACTAAAACTAAATCGGGAAGGCAATGACTAAATATGACTAAGACTAAAACTAAATCGGGAAGGCAATGACTAAATATGACTAAGACTAAAATAGATTTTTGTCATTTAGATTAAGACTAAAACTAAATCGGGAAGGCAATGACTAAATATGACTAAGACTAAAATAGATTTTTGTCATTGTGACTGAGACTAAATAAAAAAAGGCTAATGAACATAACACTGCAAAAGTGGTAGGTCCACATCTGAAAGATGGATTTTAATTAACTTACCTCACTTATTTAGAACTACTCATAACTACAAATGTGATCCAAAAATATATATTTTTTTAAAGAATAACTCTGATAGGATCCAGTTGTTGAAATGTTAACGATATAAACAGTTCTCTTTGGGACATAAGAAAAACATCCTTCCATTGCAGCAGCAAATGGAAGGATGATTATACATCATGATTTGAAGAATCATACAAAAGTGATGTTGCATTATAGGCCCGCCTCCTGCGCTCTGATTGGCTTGGTCTGATTAAGACCAAAGAGCATTGGGCCTTAACAGACTGACCTGCAGCATTTGTACATCAGCTTTTCTAAAATGAGCAGAGCAGACATTTAGAGGTTGGAACCTCTGCATTAGATCCTCTGTCAATAGACTCACTCACTGCTTCTGTGTTTTGTTTAGGTTATAATCTTATCGTGGTGGTGGGGTGTGTGATGTTGATACGGTGTTATCTGGGTAGGTGTACGGAGGGAGATCAGGATGTAAATCAAAGTGCAGAAAAAGGTGATGGGGGTGTGAGGCTGCAGGAGAGAAACTGCTGAGACTTATCAAAACAGCTTCAACAGCCTTGCTCAATCACCAAGACTCCCAGAGGTCTAAACACTTCTACCAGTGTTTGTACTTATGTAAACAGTAACAAGTGGACTGTCAGGGGCCACTCTGGCATTGTAACTGGCTCCACTATTCTGCAGGCCTTCCAAGGCGGTTCTGAAGAGCTGCCCACTTCTGCAGGAGCGCAAATGATGCAAGAATACATGGATGTTGATGGTAAAGAATAAAATTGAAATCCAAACAGCCAATCAGGGGTAAGGGCCTTATCTAGTTCCAGTACTTTGCAAAAGTATTAATTTTCCTGGGATTTTTTCCCACATTTTCCAAATGTTAAAATTTGTCAAAACACATCGTGCTTTGGTTTAAGGAAATCTGAGAACAAATGAGAAACAGTCACATGGCTAATAATGTCCAAGCTCATTTCTAGCCAAAAAGTCTGTTTGATCTTTTGCTGAGATTAATATATTAAGCAAGAGCAGGTTCTGTCAGATTATTAATCATCTTTTAAAGAAAATTGGAATCCAAAATGAGAACAATAATCTGCTAGTTTAGCCAGACGATTGCACTTGGTAAGACTTCTTCTTTGAAGAATCATGATTTGAAGAAGTTTTATTACCTGCACTGGAAGATTTTGGCCCCCTTTAATGGAGAAGAATCTTAAATCATGGATAATAGCACGTTGTGACAAACACCAATTACAGCACTGGGACTTGCTCAACAGCCGATACCGCATCTTGACGTTTCAAACCAGTAGGTGGCAGTAGTGTTCTTTGACAAACATGGATGCCTCCAGTAAAGCACATTCAAATGAAAATTATTCTTAATTAAAACCCTGATCATTTATTGAACAGAAGTTTGTATTCTGAAAGTGACCAGACTTTTCCTTTAAAAAAAAAATCAGTAAAGGAGCATCATAGATGGCAGTGGAGGTAAGATAGGGGAACTGGCCTAGTCAAAGTCTGGACCTAAAACGCTTTATGCTTTAAAATCTTACATTGTGGGAAAATGAAAACAATTTTACAAAGAAGTTTATCTAAAACTTCTCTGCAGTGATGGAAGACACTCATTGCCTTTTATGATGAACACATGATGGCGGTTATAGCCGCAAGGCTGGCACCATTTCACACTAACTTTAAAAAATAAATCACTTTTTCTACGTAGGGCCTGGTTGGTTTGCACGGTTTTCTTCCTCATTGTATTAAGTGATTTGATAAAGTCGCCTTTGCTTGATCTTAAAATGGAAAAATTAAAGTGTTAAAAAAAAAAAGCAAAACAAAACTAATCTGTAAGGCGGTAAACACCTTTCAGTGCCATTTACTTCACTCTCCAGCTTTAATAAAACAGCTTATTTCTCCTTTTAAGGAAAAAGGTTTCTACTCAAACAAACCGAAGTTAAAAGGAATCAACGAGACTTCTCAGCCTATTAAGAGTTTCTGCTCTCACTAAAGAAGAAAAATAAGAAACACAAACACTGATGAGGTTTTTCCAGCTTTGAAAATTACCCCTAAACAAAACAAATTTTTCAAGACGGATCGCAAGTGTTAGCACTGACTCAACTACTCACAACAATAAAACACTGCTTACACTTACAGCCATAAATCAGCCGAGGAATTATGTACACAACAAAGGCTTAAATATCATTTGTTACTGCATGACTCATAACACATTTGCTGGAAGAAAAAAGACGAGAGCTGGCAGGGTGTAGTCTCCGGGCCTTTTGGTTAAGTAATGCAGCACAACATCAAAGGTGCAACACCGAAGCAGAGTGACCGGTAACGGTAAGGTGGGATGTTGTGAAGCAGACCCTGGGAGGCGGTAACAGAGGGAGCATGACAAACGAATGATTAAAGGAAATCATGAATCATTTTGTTTGGATGAATGAATCAAGTCCAGTTTTCTGGTGCATTGAAGGTGCTGGAAAGTTTCTCCCCCACAAACAAGATGTTTGTTTCTGTTAAGATTGCAGATTGGTCTGACAACACTTACCTGGCATAATAAAAACTAAATATGTGTGAAAACAAACCTCGGTGGGGGAGCCGAAGTCTGCGGAGGGGCTGCAGGTGCTGGTGTCGGGGAGAGCCGTGCCTGCGCTGCTGCGCACTGGGGAGGATGGAGCAACACCAGCAGGGGGGTCCGGGATGCTGGAGGTCTGACGCAGAACACCGTGTTTCTGGAGACGAGCCCATGTGCAGCTCCAGCTGAGAAAGAGCTCGTATAAAAGCTGCACCTAGAACAGAGATAAACACCAACAAGGTTCTCACTGGTTTGGAGCCAAACAGACGCAAGACAGGGTCTAAACTTTGGGTTTTCAATCATTTCAGTTTTATTTCAGGTATTTAATGCGTGATGTGTTCTGGTAGAAGGCCTTTATGTGCCGACAAGAATGGCTTCCTGGATAATTCTGGACCAAATGGTGTACTGTTTAAGACAAACCACAAGTAAGTAAGCCCGATCTTTGAAAGAGATGTATATATAAGCCAAGGTCTGACTCAAACAGCTGCACTGGGGAGTTGTCATAGTAATGCTTCAGGAGCCATTATCATGATTTAACTTGGCAGTTTTTTGCGTGTGACAAGAAACCCAGCTTAAGTTTTCCTGTTACTTTCTAAATACTAACTAGAAACTGACAATAATCCATCCTCATTTGTCTAAAGTTTGCAATTCAATACAGCTTTAGAACACAGTTCTATTCCTGTACGCTTCCCTGTATAAATAACAATAATAAAAGAAATCATTATCCATAACAATGAAGCTAACAAAGGAAAGCTAAGTTATGTCATCAAGTTCTCTTGAAGAAGCTTTGTACTTGTTGGAAAAACTGAAGAGTCGCTGTCAACTGTTCACAACTATTTATCATTTGCTCACATTAAAAGGAGGTTTTGGCTTTTTACAAAACAAAACTCCGGATAAAGAAGTGGAAAACATGACAGGACAGTGGTGGAATGTGATGAGATGCTTTCGGTTATTTGCGCATTCACACACAATTTCTGGGGAGGGGGAGCCAAAGAGAGAAACAGAGAAAAGCCAAATACTTTCAAAAGTGATCTAATTTTTTTTGTTTTTTAAAGGCTTTTCTTCCACAGCCGGAGACTCCGCCCAGTAATGCCCACCAATAGGAATGCTCCCTTAAAGCTTTAAGCTGAACAGGCTCGAGCATAAATACACTAAACTAGATTTCTTACCTCGGATTGCTGGCTAATGCACGTGCACTACTGTGAGAGCACAAACTGCAAAGAGGCCTTCCACAAATGAACCTAAATCAAAGTAAATGCAGCACAATACATTACAGCTGGTCCATTTCAAACATGTCCAGGAAGAGCTGCTGATGTCGATCCAGTTGCTGTCCAAAGTCTGGGCCAACAGCTGTCTGCCATACCCCAACAAACAGCACTGCAGGCAGGGGAGGTAAAGCACCATGTTCCCCTCTAAGACTTTTTTTTCTTTAGGGCCTGGAACTCCAACCAAGCACAACAAGGCCTACTGCACTCAGCAGCAGATGTGGAACAAGAGAATGAAGAATGTTGGACAGCGGAAAAAGGGAAAAGGAATGGGGTGTTCACATTGAGACTGAGACCTAATAAAGAACAACTGAGTTGCTGTGGGACCGAAGCTTTTCAAGCCCGGTCTGCTAATCAATTTTGCAAGGAGATCTTGAGCACAGCTAACATTTCTTTTTACCTTTTTTTTCTCATCGCTGGCATTAATGTCTCATTCCATCAAAGTACCTCTAATCTGCTTTATTCGTAAACTAAACAGCTAAAGATGGTTTATCGATCATAAAAACTAACAATCCTAAACAAGGCCCTAATAATAGCACCAGCAGGATGACAAGTTGAAAATTCTCACTGAACTCACGTCTCAATCTTTTATTTATTTTCCAGAATAAATAAATAGTTTAATAACAGTTACAAACGTACACACAAGCAAACTGAGTTCACAATAAAGAAGGTTGATCTGAATATTTGATGAACTGAGTTCTCTAAGGCCTAGATAAAAGTCTCGGCCCTATAAAACTGGTTTGGTATTAACGACCAATATGTTTAAAAAGGAGAAGAAAAAAAAACCATTTCAAATTCAAAGGCTGGCCATGGAAAGATTGGCAGCAGGCAATACAGAGAGATTGGATAGTAATCAATAAAACTAGTAATCAATAAAAAGGAGGTGGGAAAACAAAAGGATCCTAACTAAATTAACATCTCTGTTGGATAATGTCTCCCTCCCCATGCATGAAGCTGTTGCTGAACTGGAGAGCTCCTTCAGTGACAGACTGCTGCACCTTAAATGCACCATGGTGCTTTATCACAGATCCTTCCTCCCAGCAGCTGGAAGACTTTATAACCACCACTGTTCCCAAAAACCTCAATAAGTTGTTACATTTATGCATATTTTGCACAGTTTCTACCTTAGTCAGTTAACTAACATGCTGCTGTCATTTTGCACATCTCTGATGTTGCTACAATTTTCAAATATCCATTACAGTAAAAATGTCCATAGCTGTATATTGGTTATTTATTCTCCAGGGTCACCGTTTTATATTGTAAATAAAACACTTTACAGTACTTAGAATTAGTATTTTATTGTTTATCTTTTAACTCTTCACTATTATTATGTCATTCTTATACATTTTTCTAAGGTCAATATTTGTGTGACCATTTCTTTCTATAATCTTTTTGCTGCTAACACCAGAATTTCCCCATTGTGGAAAGATAAAGGGATTTTCTATTCTACTCTATTCAATTCTATTCTATTTCATTCTATTCTATTCTAATAGATTGGAACCGATTCTTTCAGTTCTCCCAGAATGTTTTAGATTTTTAATTTTCGATTCCTAGTTTTGATGCCCAGTACCCTGACTGGAAATATAAGCTGCATATTATCAATGCGCGCCACCTGTTCATGCAAATTCCTTTTTTTATAGGATTTTTTTACAGTATTTTTTTTAACACAAAATAGCAAACCATTAGCAAGTAAAGGAAAAAAATACTAAATAAATAAGAAAAGAAGTTGATAAATAAAGTACCTTCAACTGCGTCCGCGTGTGACTTGTTAGGAAACACTTGGGTGGAGGTTAAGATTAACATCTGGCTTTCGCTTGGCACATTATGTTTTAAGAGAAACGAGTTAAACACCCTGAACACAATGACTGCATGGTAAAGAAAGGCAGTGACAGCATCATGCTGAGGGGAAGCTGTTTTCTGACCATGTGGGGGATCTCAGAAAGAGTGGAATATGCAAAAAGCTAAAACCAGGAGAATTATAAAAGAAAACCTGTAAGAGGCTAAAACAGAGGTATGGAAGTCCATCAACTCACCTTATTCAGCCAAAGCAATAATGGGATGCTTTAGATTACAGCAGCATTCATGTGTTCAAATGGTCTAGTCAAAGTCCTTACCTAAATACGTATTCCAGTTTACAGGCAATCTCCATCCAATGTGAGTAAATCATAATTTTTTAATCTATTGTAACTTAGACAGCAGTCATTAATGCTCCTATTTCTAAACCTTTAAAATCCAATTAAAAACTTAAACCCTGAAAAATCCAAAGGTGTTCATTTTAGTGCTTAATCCCTCCATCTCAATCTTTAAAATCCTTCTAATTGTACAAAGAAATATTTTGTCAAAAGCCATGGAAAAACTAATTTAATATAGTAAGAATGCAGCTCAAAGGACGGGAGTCCTTATAAGGTCAGATATCAGGGCACGTTCCTGTGCTTCAAATGCAGCTATGTCTCAAATGTGGTTTAATATTAATTAACTGACCCAGAGATGTGAAAGAGCAGACTGCAAGAGAAAGAGCAACGAGTGAAAACTAGTGAAACTGCACTTTGTTTGACAGCTACATCTCATCAGTCCAACATATTCATCTGGATTCTGAAAGGCCAGAAAGAAAACTAGATAAAACGTTTAAAGCTCTGTGGGAAAATGAATCAGCAGTGGCTGGTAGTCAGGAATTAGGAGTATAAGGGCCTATATCTTCAAAAATATCCAGAAACAGAGCATTGGAAAATACGTAAATATTGTGCAGAAAGCTTTGAAGCAGCCGACAGGGAAGTCATGGGGTTCCTAGTAAAATCCAGGCCATATTTACTATCTAGATTAAATCCCACATCAACGCTCTGGCGTTAAAGGGGAGCTCAGACTGCTGTGCTCTGAGTTAAGCAAATTAGACTTTTTCAAAGTAAAAAGTTGGTTTTGGACTTCAATTAAAACTTGCTGGACAATAGGGAGTTTGAAAGTTACTTGTTTTTTTTTTTTTTCATGTGGGCTCGACGTTTAAACCAGATTCGCCAACAGAAGAGGCTCTCTACCAAACATTACTTTGGTCCTCCTTCTGTATGGATGGATGGATGATCTAATTATGTTGAAAAGTTGATGGACTAACTCCACTGTCTGGCATTGCCAGGAAGTTTTGCATGTAATTTTCATGCATGCTTAAAACAGATGCAAAAAAGCTCCTGCAATCATATTAGCCTAAAAAAATCTCTTTGCACAAAGATCTGTTCTGCAGATTGGAATGAGTGCCTGTATTTTAATACTTTCAAACCTTTTAAAAATCAGGCCCTAGAGCATTTCTTACATGTAGCAATTATATCGATTTTTTGGGAACTTTTCTTGTACCGGGAGAAAATTAATTTCACTTAAAAAGACTACTTCTTGATTTTTGTTTTCCTGGAAAAAAAAACTGTTCCTTTCATTATGCTGGTCTAAATCATGAAGAGGTGTATCCTTGATCAATAACAGCATATTTAACTTTGGCATTTAAAAAGTGCAAAATAATTGCATTGGAAAAGAATTTGAGCTTTGTTTAAAATCTGATTATTTGATTGTTTCTAATTGTTTTCCTATAAAAGAAGTTACATACACCACATTTTGAAAATGCATCATTTTCTCTGCTAACACTGTAGGGAAACGACCCAAACAAACTAACAAACAACACACTCTCATGTTTACAATTCTGTTAACCCTGAAAATGACCTGCAGTGAAGAGAGGAGACAGTTTATTTACTGGAGTCAGTCAGTTAAAGAAAACCATGCTGAGGAAAGAAACGCAATATGAAGGAGTTCTGAATGTATATTGCTGCAAAGTTTACAAAGTGATGATTTACACAAATAAACATGAAATTCCTATCTGTACTACTGACCTGAGAGTTGGAGCTCTTGACATGGACAGGCTGCAAGTCAACATGGAGGCAGACTACAAAGGAGGGCCTTTCCTCAGAGCTGCCCTGCAGTTTAGACGTGACGGCCAGAGTGGAAGTACATCCCATGGGCTCCAACAGGCTGAGGCTCTGCTGCTTTCCCAGCAAGGTGTATACGCTGAACTGACTCAGGCTGATGGTCCATGGGAAGGCATCACCTGTCAGACACCAAAACAAGGCAAAGGTTTAAACATTGAAATCAACCAAAAAAGCAGTTTGTACTTCATAATCTAGTAAAATCATTATTTATTTAGTGGGATCAAAATCTCAATCTATCATTTAATTACTTTAGCAGTGGAAGATCTTGAGGTGAACGTTAAATAAAGGGAAATTAACAAAGCCCAACAGTTCAGCAGTTATATATATCATCAAGCTTTCAGTCACTCCATACACTGCAAAATGTTTTAAGCTAAATAAGTATTTTTTTCTTAAAATAAGCACATTTATTTCTGTAATTGAGGAAGTAAGTGAGGCATTTTGCCAATGGAACAAGACAATTTACATTTAAAATAAGAAAAAACAATTGCATTGTGTTATTTCAAGTGTATGTTATCTAATTAACTTATTTTAAAATAAATATACTAATTTAATTGGCAAATCATCTTAATTACCCACTCAAATTAAGGGTTTTAAACTGCAAAAAAATGAAATTTAAATTAGGATATTTTTCTTTAAATAACTGTATTTCCCATTGCTTTGAGCAGCTAAGTAAGAGCACTGGAAAAAATCCAAATCTAAATAAGTAATTTTTTTCTTAAAATAGGTGCATTTGTTCGTGGATTGAGGAGGTAAAAGAGACATTTTGCCAATTGAACGAGACAATTTACATTTAAAATAAGAAAACACAATTGCATTGTCTTATTTCAAGTGCATTTTATATAATTATCTTATTTTAAGAGTAAAAATACTCTTTCCATTGCCAAACTATCTCATTTACCTACTCAAATTATGGGAAATACACTTAATTTAATACATGTTTTACTTATTCGTAGATCATTTTCCAGTGAGAATCTGCCAAAAGAATACATTTATTTGCATTTACAGTGAGAGAAAAAAAAAAACCTATTATCTTATTTCAAGTGCATAATATCTAATGATACTCATTAGATATTATACTCATATACTCATTCCATTGGTAGATCATCCTACTTACACACTGGAATAACGATCTAGAAATAAGTAAAAAGTTCTTAAATGAACTGTATTTACCCTTAATTTGAGTAGGAAAATGAGATGATTTGCCAATGGAATGAGTATTTTTACTCTTAAAATTAGATATTCAGATAAAATGCACTTGAAGTAAGACAATGCAATTGTGTTTTCTTATTATAAGAGTAAATTGTCTTGTTCAATTGGCAAAATGTCTCTTTTACCTCCTCAATTCAAGAACAAATTCACTTACGGTATTTTAAGAAAAAATTACTTATCTAGATTTCGATTTTTTCCAGTGCATGTTTAAATTATGGGGAAAATGTATTTAAAGAACGTTTTATTTATTTTAGATCAGTGCATGTGGTATATCTCTAATTTCTTAAAAATTATTGCAGCAAAAAGTAAACAAAAATAAGTTCTGATTTCTAGAAATTGTTTTTTGTACTTGATTTGAGTAGATATGTAAAATGATCTACCTATAGCATAAGATAAGGTTTTAACATACTTCTGCTTGTTTTGAGTGAAAAATGTATAAATTTTCTTATGAAGGTGAAGCTTTTGTGAGAAGGACCTCTGTTATGAGAAATATTCTGATTACTTTTAATATACTTTTAATTTTGGTACATTAAAAGGATTTCACAGACATAACTGATTAAGTAGGTCTGTTTGTTCTAACACCTATAAGGCAACTAGCTCACCTATTTTTTTTTTTTAATCCTGAAATTTTAATATTTTCAGGGCCAAAGTTGATGGCATGGAAAGGTTGGGGAGAAAAGAAGGCCATCTTTGTTCTTTCCTCCTCCAAAGAGTAAACACAGATCAACTGTCTGAGTGTTGCTTCTGCCGACTCTCCCAGGTGTGCACGCCACATGTGCCAGATCTATCTCTCAAAGCCGCTCTCCTTAAGTTTGTTTGTCTTTTGTCACGGTAAATGAGTAGCAGTGGGTCAAAGGTTTCCTCAGTGTTGAAAAAGCCATAATGATGATGAAGTCCCATTATACAGGCTGTAACTTATTACGTTATTATTCAATCTAAATATCAATAAAAGGAATCCTTGACTTTTCCAGGCTAATTGAGGTCTAGTTTTATGATTCCATCTTTTTTGCACTTCTCACCATCATTATTCCTCATTCAAACTTTCAAATTAATCTTCTTGACATCAGGTCATCGGAGGGTCTCACAATGTGCCTGGGAATGTTTTCTGTCTAATTCCACCATCCACTCAGCTTTAGATGTGATTAGATTAAGGCTGAAAACAAACCTTCCTCTAAGATGGGCTTTGAGACGACGAAGGGAAGCTCCTGCAGAGGCTCCATATATTTATGTCCAGCACTGAGGACGCTGATCTGAGGCAAACAGACAACCAGAGTCCCGGGCATAGAGGCCTGGTTGTGGTACCAGCTGCGGACAGTGCCGGGAATGTCGCCGCAGACGATGGTGCTCGGAGACGGGAGGCTGTCGTTTGGCAGGAATACGCAGCATGACTGTAAATCCAACTGGAATAGAGAGAATACAAAGAAAATTAAGTTACACTGCAAAAAACTGACATCAAAGCACATTTCTTTGAAATTTGTATATTTTTTATTGATTTGAGCAGGTTGCCAATAATTTAAAAGTAGAAAAAAAAGTATTGTAGTTCATAATCCCCAAATATCTTATTTTAGTTAATCATCTTATTAATAATAAACAATCTAGAAATAAGTCAAGGTTTCTTAAATTAAGTCTATTTATTCTTAATTTGACTATGTTAAGATTGGCACTGGAATGAGATTAAAATAAGTTAATTAGATAATATGTTCTTGAAATAAGACAATGCAATTGTTTTCTCTTATTTTAAATTTAAATTATCTGATTCCATTGGCAAAGTGTCACACATACCTCCTCAATTCAAGAACAAATGCACTTATTTTAAGAAAAAAATGACTTTTCCAATAAATAAACTGAGCTTTCATGGCTCCTCATGTAAGGACTTCTATTAGAGGAAGAAACACTTAATGACAAAAATCAGAATCCTCAAAAAGTAAATAGACTATTAAATGTTTAAGAATGTAGAAATACTTTAGTGATACATTTAATAGTATCGCTTTAATCTAGAAGATTTTGTGGTTTTTAATCTGCAGATTTATTTGTTTCTTTGCCACAGAGAGAAAAAAGAAAAAATGAAAAAACATTAATGAAGAGTTTAAATAATAATTTAAAGTCAACATTTAATGACTCAAAGGAGACTAGATGCTTTTATGAACTTTATCCCTAAAGACGGATTCTACTGTCGCCATATTTTTATTGGCCAAACAAAAAGCTAATTCAAATAGATTTCAGGTCAGCAATAACGGTTCTAAGAATGTAAAGGCAATTTTTAACCTTTTGAGAACCAGAGGAAGTTTTCCATTTTCCAGCGGCTCGACTGATTCAAAAGAATATTTCATATGAATGACGTGTATGTGGAGCCCAGAGGGGTTTGCAGGCGCTGAAAGATTGCAGCGCTTTCATGTTCTGTATCCGACTGTAGTATAAAGAAAAACTCCAGTCTTCAATAACATGATGCGAGGTCTAAATATTTTATATGAGAACATATGTAACATGTGTTGAGCTTCTACAGACAGAAACAGGAAACTTTAGTCAAACATCCTCAGAAACTGTGAAGCTGAGTATGAACAAGTCACAGGTGATAAAGCTCCAATTATTAGAGCTGGAAAAATAGAGAAAACAGGATGAGGAGTCAGAGACGGCTTTGGAAGTCTCATAAAGGTCATTAGAATTAATAAAGTACTGCTATATCTATACGTTTGAAGCAGAATGTGGCTCGTTTCAGAGCTAAGCAAACATATGACACAGACGAATGGTAAATTACATAATACATCTTTCTATTGCAAGTCTTTTTTATTGTGAAAAATATTTCAAAATATTACACATTTATACACTTTTTTTTTTCTTTAAGTAGGAGATAACAACACAAACGATAACCCACACACAACAAAAAATAACACCACCACCGCCACTCTTACACAATCACATAACCCACCCTAGGACTTCCTGATCCATTACATTGCTGAGGTAATAAGATATGATGGGTAAAAAAAACACATTTTAGCAAAATCAATTAATGTTTTGGAGAAGGGGATACCAAATCTCCTCGAATGTTCCAGTCTGTTAGTTACAGTAACACATACCGTATCCTTTCTAGGTGCAAAAGTCGGATCATTACTTCTAGCCACATTTTAACAGTAGGGGTCTCACTTTTCTTCAGAAATTGTAAGAGTAGTTTCTTAGCTGTAATTAACATGTATGATAGCAATTTTTATTGGGGTACTGGGAGTGAATTAAACTTATCTGACAAGCCTAGCACCGCCAAAATAAGATCTGGCCTCAAGCATATCTGATATTAAATAAATATGAGGACATTACCCCAATTTTAGCCTCATTACACTGGCTCCCTGTACATTTTAGGATTCATTTTAAAGTTCCTTTATTTGTTTTTAAGTCTCTCCATGGTTTTGCTTCATCTTATCTTTCTGAGTTGCTGCACCTTCATTTACTCTCCCGTTTACTCAGGTCAGCCGATCAGCTGCTTCTTGAGATACCAAAAACTAAATGGAAGCTTAGGGGCGATCGTGTTTTCTCTGCAGCAGCTCCAAAATTGTGAAACGACCATCTATTTCAAATTTAGTTGTCTACTTCTTTTTCTTATTTTTAAATAACTCTTAAAAAGTAATCTCTTTACCTTGGCTTTCTAAACTGTATGAGATGTTGATTTTAATCTGTGATATATTATTTAAAATTACCTTTTTTTAATTTAATTATAGAGTTTATAGTTCTGTTTTTAATTTAATCTTTTATGCTCTATGTTTTTTTTTTTAGTCTGTGTAATGGCATTATGTTGTTTCACTGTACAGCACTTTGGTCCTTTGAGAAATTTTGAAGTGCTTTATAAATAACGTTGAATTGGATTGATTTAAATGGTAAAATCTTAGGGCAAAGACAGTAACTGTGAAGTAGAGAGGCTTCATACATTTATTACGCAATGGGGAGACTTCTGGGAAATAATACATCTTTCTTACATGGCTTTGCTTAAATTGCATAAATGATGGATAAATAAACCTGTCACATTTTGTCACATACAGTATGCATCAAGCGTAACATTCTGCACTGCCTATTGCTCATTCAGCATCCACAGATCCTGTGAGACAACTATAAGATATTTGGTTTAAAATAGATGTTCATGCAAGAAAAAAATTAAAAGAACTACTTTGATTGTAGAAATTGAGAGAAAAAGAGAGACAAAAGGAAATTTCAGTGGTTTTAAATTACCATTTTGTAAATAAGTGGGATCTTAATAGCGATAATTGGTTCCTTTCAAATGTTTTAATAGCTCTGCAACAGGCAACAGTCCATGTTTGTTTAAAAAGGATGTTTAACCACTGCTCAGGGATTTTGAAAGCTTTTAAATAAATTTTTACCCAAATGATCTCATACTCATACTCTCATAGGTCGTGTCTAAGGGGTGAACTTCCTTGTTACCCTTGTATTGTTGGTTGACAGGGTTAGACTGCTACCAGCCATCGTCTGTATCATCGCACGTCACTCCCAAAATTCTGCTGGCTTTATTCACTAAATGGGATTTAATTAGAGTTTAAAAAGGTCAAATGATTTGTGTTTTTGATGTATTTCAATGCATCATTTGTCACTGAGAAAATCAGTTTGCTAGCAATAAATGTAAACTTCAAAATATTGCTTTTTTTTTTTAAGAAACCAGTTAAACTTTGTAAACTAGTAACTTGCTCAACTGTACAACTGCTCAAGTTCCTAAAGTACTAAATTAACCAAAAACCAAATGGAGTAACAGTGTGGGCTATGCTTTAGAAGAAATGGTGAAGCACTGGGTTCCTTAATGCTGCCCCCTGCTGGATTGGAGGTGTAGTACACTGCTTTCCCTGATGTCCCAACATATCATTCAGCTAATTAAAAAAAAACCTTTCAGCAACTGTTCAGAGCAGTGGAAACATAAAGAACACAAACCATTTGGGACTCTGAACAAAACAAATCTGGGAAAAGGATCTATTAGAAAAAACAATAAAAGAGATTAGTCTGTGTAATAATTTCTGCCTACAAGTACTGACATGACACCACATGTACATTTAAGTGTCAGTGCGATTTCTAAAAACAGCAGCAGTTAGTAACAAACAGCTTAGTTTGTAATCTAATATCTAAGGTACTAAAACGGTCAAATGTGCAGCCAGTAATTGTGTTAACAAGTCAGTTAAAAAAAGACAATTTCTTACCAATTCAAGGACAATGAAAATATATTGTCTGCTGCTATATGCCTTTGACAATAGAGCCATTTTAACTAGAGTAAAAGGAAAAATTAAGAATTAAATAAAAAAGAAAAATTGAGCAGAAAAAAAGACTGAAAGACATAATCGTAGTAAGGAAAATATATGACATAACTTTAACCTCTGATGTGTTCGGGGTTAGCGGGGAATAAAAACAGCGGCAAAAAAATGACAGAGTTGGACACGACTCAGGCACGACAAATAATAAATACTGAACAGAGGAGTGCAGCTGTTTGGAAGTTAAAGTGTAATTTACATTACAAAAAAAAGGAAGGTGTTTTCAACATATCATTTTTGTTTTCAAAGGGGGTAGATGGTATGAACCGTGTTTGGAGTACCATGACGATATGGATTCAGGTTTAACTGGCCTGGATTCCAGATTAGCAGGTGTGCTTAAAGGGTATCTTTGTAACTCTCCAATTTTAGACGGGAAAAGAAAAGTCCAAGGAACATGATTTTTCATTCCTTTTAACCAATGACATCATGTCCTGTTAAAGTGAAACAAAATCTTTTAACATAACAAATGGAGTCAACTGTCAGCTGTCTGGGACGTGTACCTCAGTTTCCAACAGAGTTTAATGAGCAAATTCATTCAGGGAAAAAAAAGAAAAAAGAAACCTTGAATGACAATATGACCGCGTTTCTTAATTTGTACTCTGGGACAGGGTGTATCTTGCACCACATTTCATTAATACACATGTGGAAAAAATAACCGCCTTTTCCATTTTGAAAAACAAATCTTGGTTTAAAAATTGACTAAAGTAATCAACCCCTCACAAGGCTGCACATGCTTTATTTTAACTGTAACAACATGCTCAAATGACATGCATACTCATTAACAAGACTATACACAGACATACATCATGTCTGCTTGCATGCTCAAATTATGTTCATGCAAAACTGAACACACACACACACACACACACACACACACACACACACACACAGTCCCAGATCCTATATCCTCCTAAAAAAAAAAAAAAAAGTAATTTCATTAAAAAGAGAGCCCGTTATGGAATAATATGGTTGACAAAAAAACAGGAGGATAGAATGTAAACCCTCTTGGCCACAGGCTAATACACCTGAATCCCATTCCTGGCACCTGCAGCAGCTATGACTCTAGGAAAGAGACCTGAGCTGCTAGTAAAGTGCAACAAGCTATTTGC